GGATTAATTCTTTCTCCAGTCCTTTTCAACACCGATCTGCAGCTACCAAGTGAACGGGTCAGACGACATGGACTCAAGCACTAGTAATATGCAGATGACTCACAACTGTACCTATTCTTCACCACAAGTAACCACAGCACTACCACCGAGATGGCCCTGTTCTTGGATGAGATCAGCTCCTGGATGACGAACAGCTGACTGAAGCTGAACTGAACAAGAGAGGGGTGATGCTGGCCGCACAGGAAAGCATTTTGAAGAGTTTGCAGCAATAGTGTAGTCTCCTTTAGTCAAAGGTACACATTCACAATATTTCGTTTGTCATTTAAGAATACTCTTGGGTTCCTCACTGACACTAAACTCTCACATAGAAAAAAATGCTCATGGATCTGCTATCATTTCTTGTTGACTAGGCGACTCCATCCCACCTTGGTGGACAATGACCTGTGTCTTTAGTTATTCATGCCTGCCTCCCTTCGTGGCTGTACTACAGCCATATGATATACCTGAGCATGAAGTCTTCAGCACCTAGGAAACACCAACTAATACAGACTGTTGTAATATATCTCCTCAGCAACACAGACTACTGCAAACACATCAGACCTATCCTCCACTCTCTACAATGGCTTCCCTTAGAATTTCTAATCAAGTTCAAGGTCTTGGCCCTTATCTTCAAAGCACTATAAGGCTTGGTCCCAGAATATCAAAAAGACCATCTCAAGAGTTCTGGGATGAAGACTGTGATTGACAGCTGTTCTCCTTTTGCAGAATGCAACTCTTTACAAATAAAAGGTAAAAAACTCATCTGTTTGTGAGACAGAACTCTCTTTGGCACTTGTCTGCAACTGTGGAATGAACTCCTCCAGGAACTAAGGACTGTCACAAATCTCACCACCTTCCACTCCAAGGGCAAGGCACATGTCTCTGACCTTAACTTCTTTAACATAAATACATAGCAACATGAATATTCTCCCTGGAGAGAGAATCAGAGAACAAACAACAGGTGACAGATGTGTAGTACCACTGCTTAACCCGCTACGAGGAGGTATTCACATACGACAGTGATGAGTGGCTTATAAGAACTTCTACAGAACAGAACTAATAAGACCAGTAAGCTAAAATTTTTTGCTTATTCTTTTGTTTTTCTTGCTACTGTATGGCAAAAAAGTTTAGAAGATTGTCTGACTCATCATGAACAGCTCAGTGTTTAGGGTGTCCTTGTGACAGATATGGCAAGTTCCTGCAATATATTTTGGAGATCTTACTTAAATTTATAGATCATTGAGGGCCAGGGATTATATATAATTCCATGGGGGAGGAGGACCACAGCCTTCAGGAACTAAGAACTGTGGGAGGTGATTAGGCAAATTCACTCAGGCTTGCATATACTGGTTCAAACTGAATTCTCCAGTGACCAACAGACAAAGAAAGGACTTTTGATAAGTAGTCTGAGTTTAAACTGACTCAAGGCCTGCTTTCTGATCCAGCAAATGGACAGGACCTTCTGTCCAAGTGAAGGCCCAGTCCTTCCTGGGAAGGGTTGAAAGGATTGACACTGGCCAGAGTGTGTGGGGGGTGATCTCTGGTAAGCTTATTAGCACACTTGCAGCTTCTTTTTTTGTTTTTAATATGTTTTCTCTGTAACAATACATGCGCTTGCTTAGAAAGGTCTGTGCGGTAACATATCTGTGGGAAATTATGTTGTTTACAGTCTCAGAAGAGAAACAAAGCAGGCCCACTTAGGCAGTCTGAGTTGCTGGGGAATTCACAGTTTAGACTGGGAACTATGCAGCCTCATCAGGAGGGAGAGAGATCAGGGTCTCCGCCCAAGAGAGGTGACAGCTGAGGAGCAAGGAGCCTAGAGTGGGTGCCCTTGTTGGACCATGGAGGAAGAATACAGGTGCAGTTGCCCTGAATTGTAACAGTACTACTCCAGGAATTTCTTGTGTAACTCACTACAAATGCAGCAGAAAAATTCTACCTCCACCTCAGGCCTAACCCATTACTGTTGAGGTTAATATTCCTTTGCTCGTGGATTTTAGAGGTGCTAAAACCAGATTTATAATAGAACCCTTAACAAGAGAATGGCTATTTACATGTCCTAATAATCTAATAAAGTTTAAAGCACTCAATGAACATATTTCAAAGGAATCCAAAAGCTTTCACAATTTTGGACCTGGCCTCGACAAAACCAGTGGCAACTTCTGGCATAGAAAATATGTACATTAATCCTCCAAAGACAATATCGAGCCTGTAAGGTATAAGTGTAAAATCCCATCCTAAACACCAGCAGCATCAATATTCCAAAAGTTCATAGCACTTCTGCAGGTTTTTGTTTTTTGGTCATGTTGGCAAGTTCCCCACATATGTGCAAAAGAGACACATGTCAAGTATGCCTTCAACGTGGATTTTTTTTTTTTTAAAAGGACAATATTTCTTGTGCCATGTTGGCTTATTTTTAATTCTCTCTCATGTCTTTATTAACATGCTGCTACATTTCTCTAATTGCACACCAACCATATTAGTGACACTAGTATCTGGGAATCCAACAAGACCCTCAAATTCTAAACCATAGCAACAAAAAGCAGTTTAACACCGAATATAGTGGCTGCTAATGTAGTTTTTGTCCATTCCTCCAGTTGTTCTTCCCACCCAACAAGGGTGAAAAATCTTGGTAATACCTTAAAAAATATTGCCAACATACTATGGAATTTATAAAGTTTTAAAAAATGGTTGTAATTTATATTTTAAAGGCTGTTACATAGCTAACCCAAGGGCATTTATACACCTCCAAAATGATCATCTACAATGAAGGCTTAGGCCCCAGAACAGGCACCAGGACATCTGGGTACAATTCCCAGTTCTATGACAGACTTCCTGGGTTATGTTGGCAACTCACAATCTTGTTGTTCCTCAGTTCCCAATCTTCTGTTGTATGTTGCATCCCTTCCTCCCACCATTTCTCTATTTTGTCATATTTAGCTTGTAAACTCTTCAGGGCAGGGACTGTCTCTTAATATGTGTTTGTACAGCATCTAGAACAATGGGACACTGATTTTTGATTGGATCATCTACTCTCTTCTGTAATACTAACAGTAAACAATAATAATCCTCTACCCCCCTTCCCAAAACAATTAAAAGCAGTATTGTAGCACTGCAGGAATTTTAAAGATTCCTTGGAAGACAAAACCCTTTGAATACTAGCCACAGACAGTGCAGTAAAGCATGAGTCCAACAGACAATTATGAACTCATGAGGCATTTGTCCAATATTAGCTTTCAACATTAGGATGTACTCAGCATCAATTATAAGTCATCTCAGTGAAACGAGCAGAACGCGAACAAGGGTAGAGTGAAAATTATTGGTCTCAGTGGTAGAGAGGAATAACGTTATGTTAGCAGAGCAATGTAAGTCAAATAGTTTTGAGGCTTTTTCCAGGTCAGAGCAAAACTTTCAAACATTATAAGATTCACAAGTTAGCAATATATTTGTCACAAGACTCCTCTTGCTTAAAAGTCAACTGAAGTCAACTTCCATCTGTAAGCAAATTAAGGTTTGTTGCCTTTGCATATGTCAAGGCTGAATCCTCACTCTGTCACTCCGAGTGCAGAAGGTAGAGGCCTGCAAGGATTCTAAAAATTAATACTGGCCACTCCAGGCTTTTATTAAACTCTAAGGATACCCTGTGGGGTACCCTCAAGCCCTTACACACACACACACACACACACCCCTACACCTCCTCCAGGGAAGAGCTGAGAAAGAAAACAAAGGAAATCAGCTGTGCCTATCAACTAATCAAACAACATGCACAAACCTCTTAGGACACCAAAAATCCAATCCTGTTCTTAAAATAGGTAAATTTTATTAAAAACAAAAAGGGGGGAAATACATCTGGAACTTAGGCTTTTTGCTAGATCTTAAAAGAAACAATTACAAAAATTAAGCACCCACAATAGCTTTCTTGGGGGTTCAGCTTAAAGGTTACAAGCAAACAAAAGCATCTGGGGTTAGCACAGAGGAGATCCACAAGCCAAAATAAGAAATAAACCAGATCGTGTCTAGCTAAATATTCTGATCTACTTACACATTTGGAGTTCAGATAAGTAGTTTTAGGCATGACCTGATGCTTTATAATCATACCTGGCTTAAGCTGCTTACAGCATTGCTGCTTTGTTCCTCCAGCCCAGAGAGAACAGACAAAGGGAAAGTTTCTTTCCCAAATTTTAAAAGTTCTACTTTCCCATTGGCTCTTTTGGTTAGGTGCCCACTTCCTTTTCTTTACTTGGGGGACTTTTAACCCTTTACAGGTAAAGCAAGCAGAGAACAGCTACCAAGAGGGATTTTACATCTAACTAGCTGGTTGGGTGTCCATAAAAGGGAGCTATCCCCTGCTCCATTTATCACAGCATATAAAAAAAGAAATGTCTGTGTTGCAAGACCCCTACAGTAGTCATTATTACACAAGTAAAAGCACTGCATTTGCCTACAGAACTAATACTAACGGTATGTTTACACTGCAACTGAAGGTATGATTGTAGCTCCCATACGCACACCCATGCTAAAAGAACAGGAGTACTTCAATCAAGCTAGCAAGGGTAACAATAGTAGTAAAGACTCAGTGGCACAGGCTTTAGCACAGGCTAGCAACCAGAGTGCCCAGACAGGCTTGTACTCTGGTTGCTAGCCCATGGTGCCACATCTTCTCTACTACTGTAACCTGTGCCAGAAAGATTAAGCCTAGCACTGGTATGTCCACCTGTGCTACAATCACACTTTCACTTGCAGTGTAGACATACCTTAAGAATGCAATGTTCCTACAAAACTAACAGATCGCTGAAAGTTTATCATACAGTTTTAGAAATGTATGTAGAAATACAAAATGTTAACGTCACATATCAAAATAATATTCAAAAGACATTTCAATATATGTATAGAATGCTCTCAAAAGCTTTTCAAATTAACAATACCAGAATATTTAGATGTTTTGAGAAGAAGCTCCTTACCGAAATAGCGGTTATCCTCAGAGAATCTACAGTGGAATGTCTGAAAAGGTACCATAAAACAGGTCCAATTTCTCCTGTAATAAATCCCTGTGCATGAAATGAATCAGTGGTGCAAACATTTTCAACAATCTTCGCCGCCATATGATTCACAACACGTTCTTCCTAGAGGGGAAAAAAGGCATTTTATATTAACTACTATTGTCTCTCTCTTACTTCACTTTTCTGAACTATTTAAATAACAGGCAAATACAGCAAAATAATTTGTGTTGTCTGAATACTGCTTCTTACTCTTGTTACACAGATATCAGGAAAAATATGGAAAATCCTTAGGGAAGAAGTCATTTCACAGGAAAATTCAACTACTTTGAAATATAAAGTTTATGCTCCCCCTCCCCCTTTATCTTGTACTGTAAATAAATCCAAGGAGATAATAAATAGAAATAATATTTAAAACTGAGTCTTCCATCTCCAAGTGATCACTCTGAATTCAGCATAGGTCAGCAATGAATGAAAGTTGTCACTGTGTCTTACTGTGTCATGAGCATTCAGCTCTACATGAACAGGTGTTCATATCACATTTGCCAATAAGAATGCCAGTTATTATGGTGATGTTAACAAAAGGGTCAAGGACTTGATAGGCATGGAAATTTAATTACTCTTAACACTAAAGGTGCTTCCACCATGTCAAGGTTCAGGCATATTGGTGAGGCAGTGCATGGCAGATTGCATTGCTATTACCCCAGTGCACTTTTTCTATGGATATACAGAGGACACTTTCCAGGGCTTTCAATCCATCACCTTTACTAATAAGTTTATTTAAGAATTTATTTTAATTAAAAATTTACATTACTTACCATTCAATAAATGTACCATATATCTCATGTTTGGCGGGGGAAAGGCTAGGAAACATTTACCGGAATATGAAAATGTATATTATAAAGTGCTGCATATATACATGTCATATTCTAGCAGTCATGGGAAATCAGTACTATCCTATAGTTAACTAAGTCCGAGTTCCCATTCCATTTTAGTTTTTCTTTCAGTTGCTTTATAAGTTTCTCAAATTTCTCCACAGCCAATTTTTTTTCATGCTTAGTCTCAGCCAAAAGATTAATCTTTTGGAAGGTTTTAGTGAAATTAGTTCAGCCATTTTTGAGTTAGAAGAACATGAAAAATAGTCTAGTTTTTCATGTGTTCTTAATTTCTGCACCTACATAGCTATTACTGTCAGAAGCTAGAAATTTCAAATGTAACCTATTTTATAGTTTTTCATTGACAAACAAAAAGGTTTTACGTACAAAAATTGTTTTAATCTAAAATTTATGGTGCACTATCTCCTTACTCTTAATCTGAGAAATATGTTCAGTCAGTTTGCCAAGTGCCCCCATGAGTTCTACTTCACCAAAACAATTCCCATTGCCACAGATAGCAAGACTGTCATAGTTACCATGCAATGCCATATTTTCTTTCAAAAATGCTACACCTCTGTCCCATTTCTGATTTCTCTGAGTGCATGCCCTCAAATGTCAGGTCTTGCATGCCTTTACCACTCCAGGGGTGGAATTACATAGTTCTCCCAGTCTTAGATTAGGTCCTGGTTTACAGCACCCTGTGTACTGAACGTGCTTGCCCAACAGGTCCAACTGGGTTTGGCACCTGTGCTGGGAGTCTGTGACCAGTGGTGAATATAGTGACCAGAAATATTCTTCTTAAACCAAAATATTGTTTAACAGTTAGGACACAACACATTTAGAGGATTCTAAAACAACAGTTTACACGTATGTCTATTTTAACTAAAATCTTACAATCACCTGATGGTACCTGATGGTAAGCTAGGCAGGCCTATCTTCTTCAAACACCACAGAGTGCTTCCCTCTGAGTCTAGCTGCTCCTCAAACAACATCTTGACCACCTCTCTCCCCTTTCTTGAAATCCTCATTCTGCAGGACATAGATCAACCACTAACTGTTTAGGATTAACAAAAATCCTAAAAATCCATGGGTCAGGTTATTCCATAACTGTCCTTCCTTGGACCTTGAAAATGTGGTATAGACCACTGAGAGACACAGGACAGTGAACTAACTGGACCACTGCTTTGATCTAGTCCAGCAATCCTGAAATTCCTAGGCCAGATTGTTACTTCCTATTCCATCCCCTTTGTGCTTCCTGAATCTTATTATCATAAGCATCTGCAGGAACAGGCACCAAGTAATTTTAAATTAACAAATAAAATAAAGATAATAATCCATGCACATTGTCCATGCAAATAACTGTTCTCTAGTATTTCTAAACTACTAGAAAAATAAATTATGTCAAAATAATACTGATCAATTAAGGTATATTATCATGGACCTTATCTTGCAACAATGTGTGTTCTGGATAACTCCTATTGATTCTATCGAAAGGTTTACTTGAATACAGACTGCATAATCAGATGCTATATTTTATAAACAGATCATTTACCAAACAGAAATTGAAGACTGAACATGTGATATTTTTCCTCATTGTCCACTACATCATTTTCCTTCCAGCTCTAACTGTGAATAAGCAAAGTCTTTCAACACTGACTACATGCGACCGATGAATTGGTCCAGTTAATTTAAATACAAGTAAGGAAGACAATAGATGTACTCCAGAGATTTAGTTTGTTTAGTCTATAGCACACTCAATCTTCACAAATAATGCATCATAATGGCATTATTTATTTCTCTTATATTATTTTCCACTTCATCCTACCATCTCATTCCCTTTGGATTTCTGACATTTATATCTCCACAGTTATAACCACCACCAACTGTGAGCAACAATAATGAAACTTTTCAGGTCATTAAAAATATATTCCTAACTATCTCCTCCCTCTACTGATCATCAATGTTTAATTTTTGAACATATAAGACTAAATAGATGTATGTGGGAATTTAGTATAATTCTTATTAAAGGAAACTTTCATCATAAGTGTCATATTAATTGGTTACCACTGTCTAAACTTCAGTTCTACTTAAACAAGAACAATTTACTCATGGGGCCTGATTCTCATCCTCACACCAGTTTTACACTGATATAACACAACTGATTCAATAGCTTTACTTCTCATTTATACAGCTGTAAATCAAAGGAGAATTAGCCCCCAATCTTAACAAAAGTTTTGTTAGTGTACCATACTGTATAGTAGACAACCATTTACAAACACAAACAAGTGCAGTTTTTTCAAAATTAAGCTTCTTGACACTTATTTCTCAGATATTTTTGTTTGCAAATAACTTAATATACATTTTCAATCTTTTCCTTTACATTTCAGCTTACATTATTTTCTAAACTGCACAGGTGAAAAAAATACATGCATTTACAATATGCACTGTACATATTCAAAATATTAATAGCAGTATTCATTCTTTCTTACATACCAATGATTATTAGGCACACAAACTGGGGCTCCTGTGTCACTTGAAATAAGTAACACCACATTTAATAAATGCATTACAATACCATAAATAAGCCATAACCAAAGCATTATGCAGCAGAGAATGGTTATTATGAATGCTAACAGATCTTCAGCAATATCCAGATGCAGTTTTAGCTATCCTTAGCAAAATTTTGTCCCTCAAAAGTGTGCTTTATCTTGTACTTTTTAGCCAGTGCGGAGAGGAGTCATGCCCTGTACCAGATAACCACAGTCATTCTTATATCTTGGCTGGGAAATGGTCATGTATTGTTACAGTGCTCTATCAACTCAATGAGGCTTTCAGATTAATTCCATTTGCTGCCACCTGAGATTGGCTCCCTTAGCCCCTCTGGGACCTGTTCTCAAACACTGTATAAGCAACAAGCCTTGTACCATTTTCTGCTTAATTAACTCTTGGGAAAGGAAGGATGAGCTAAACTAATATTTGGCCTCAACTGAAGGATTCATCTTGTCATGTTATCAAGACATAAGCTATGTTAGTTGAAAGAAATGGATCCTCAAGATATGATTAAAGAGCTTTTGTACACCAGATAACCTGCCAGTATCGTGAACCATAAACAGCATGAATATAGCATTATTAAAAAAGCAACACTATCAGATTTTCTCAGATTCCAAGTAGTTTTACAAAAGAGCACTAAAAGATATAGGGCCTGATTTTTAGAGGCACTAAGCACTTCTGGTTCCCATGGACTTCAAATACAGTTGTGGGTGCTGAGTACTTCTGAAAATCAGGCACACATAAATGAGAAAGCAAGTATGAATAAGGTGAATATATCTGAAAAGACAAAGGTAAGCTTACTTTTCATTCAAAATTTAAAAGTATAAAGAGGTCAATATTTCCATTTGGATAAATAACTGATTTTACTCTATCTTGTTATTTATTTTGGTTGTGGAAGAGCCAACAGCATATTAGAAGCTTTCCTAAACACTGAGAAAGAACATAAAATCTAAAAGCAGTGTACTTTTAACAGATCATCTTCAGTTTTGGATAATATATATATATACACACACACACACACACATATATATACACACACACACACACACACACACACACACACACACACATATATATACACACACACACACACACACACACACACACACAGAGTGAGCTTATATATGTATAACATTTATATATAAAAAAATCCTAAAAATTTCAAATACTAATGTAGTGTCATTACAGAAGCAGACTGGAAACAGATTCGGGAAATAAAGAACTTATTCCAGCATCTTTCTAATCAGTTGCTAGGACACTTTCAGTTTAAACGAAGATGAAAGTTGGAAAATTAGAATATATTAAAGCCATATCATGAAAGAATTAACTTTTGTTCTTGAGTATTCAGGATTATAGAAATCAAAATCTTCATTTGACTGTGAACTGTAATTACATATTCTTCACTGAAAAAATAATCCGACAATGTAGAGAGAGTAAAAGATTTACTTTTACTTTAAGAAAAATAAATCAAGAATTTGGCTGTAAATTGGGGAATGGAGTAAGGAGGACAATAAACACTGCCCAGTCTGTCCCCTCAGTCTGACACACTCGGTCCTTCAGCAGCCCAAAGATAAGGCTCAGAGTGGACACAGGACTTCACTGCTGCAAACAGACTGGGGCCTTTTAGCTCTTATACTTTAAATACATATATATTTAATGATAAATATATATATTTCAACAATACCACAGGGCCAACTGATG